TTAATGCAATGTGACCAAGATAACTGTGAGGATTGTTTAATCAGTGACATGAGATGCCATTTTTCTTTGACCCATCAGAATAAATGCGGTCATTTATTTAACAGAATTAAAATTTAACATCAAAACATGTACACATTGATTTGCTGATCTGGTTCTGATTAATAAAAACTTGGCACGCTTTACTAACAAGACAACAGAACATTTCTGAAGGCATCTAGATTGATTTACTGGCAAAATAGAAAAGTTTAAAGGAAGGAATGGATAAGTTTAAAGGAAGATGGATGAAGGAAAGATGTATGTTTGTTGACCAGAATTAGCATGCTTCTTTCAACACCAGCTCAAACCACCGGTACACTCGGTGCGTGATGACTCGTTACCTTTGCAGAAGATAAATCAACTCCGGTACAGAGGTCCATTTCAATACTACCTTTCCAGCGTCTCCAGTCAGGGTGGCTGGGCATCGTCAGAAGTCGTGACGATTTACTCCGTCCAACAGACAAGCTTCCTTCGAAGTTGTAGGGCGTTAAGCCCGGGTGAGTTCACAGCGAGGCGCTGTGACTCCGCTGGGGTGGACGGACCCTCGTCTCACGGTCAAATCCATCAGCTATTGATTAAATCTGAAAGTTCCTTAGGAACTCTCAGGAAGACTCCATAGTCCCAAGAAAGACTCAGGAAAACGCCGGTCAAAGACTGAGCCTCGAGAAGACTCGAGAAGACTCGAGAAGACTCGAGAAGACTCCGAAGACTGAAGAAGACTCCAGGAAGACTGACTAGTTCCAGGAAGTGTTGACTTTTACAAGAGTATCCAAAAAAGTTCAATCTGGTCCTCTGGACATTCATTTTGAATGTCCAGAGGACCAGATTGAACTTTTTTTTAAATTTTTCTACCTGGATTATTGAGCATGCATCAGGATATTTTACAAGAGTACTCACTTCCAGTCACTTAGTACTTCCTGATTGGTTGAAACAACCAACAGGGGCGTGTTTCAGTGATGTCAGAGGGTTATTAAAAGTCAAGAGAGGATGCAGGAATGTTTAGGAACGTTTAGTACAGACAGAGAAATGTTTTGAAGAAGTGAGAGGAAGCAGGTGCCAGTTGCTTCCTTTTTACCGTCTGCTAGGTTTAAAAACAAGACACTTCGTTCTAATAACTTGTCTCTGTCTGTCTCTGACTTTCGACCGACATCACTACTTCTCATTCAGACAGAAGATCAAAATGCATAATTACTTTGTAAATAGACATTTAACTTGATTTCTAATTTAAATGAGGTTTAAAAACCATTAATACTGTTTCACAGTTGATTTAAAAGAGTGGTTCACTTCAACATTTAGAAATGGTATGAACTAAACACACTTTATCAAAAAGAAGAGTGTTCTTTTAATTAATTAATTCAGGATACAATTAAACAGTCTCTTGATGAGCTAATTTGTATTTCTGGATTCAAATCAATGAAACAACAGTTCCTGTCCCATGAAGGTCTTCAGAGACAGGTTGTGGTCGGAGGACTAGTTGAAGTGAACCACTCATTTTAAATCAACTGGGAAACAGTATTAATGATTTTTTTAAACCTCATTTAAATTAGAAATCAAGTTAAATGTCTATTTACAAAGTAATTATGCATTTTGATCTTCTGTCTAAATGAGAAGTCAGTGATGTCGGTCAAAAGTCAGAGACAGTCAGAAAAGAAGTTATTAGAACAAACTGTATTTTTTTAAACCTAGCAGACGGTAAGTAACTGCCACTGACACCTGCCTCCTCTCACTTCTTCATAACATTTATCTGTCTGTACTAAACGTTCCTAAACATTCCTGAACCCTCTCTTGACTTTTAATAACCCTCTGACATCACTAGAACCACCCCCTGTTGATTGTTTCAACCAATCAGGAAGTATTAAGTGACTGGAAGTGAGGACTCTTTTAAAAGTCGACACTTCCTGGAACTTTTCAGTCTTGTAGTCTTCTCGAGTCTTGGACCAGGCTTGGACCAGTCTTGGAAGAAGTCGGACTCAGTCTTCTCGACTCTTCAGGCTTTGATCTGAGTCAAACTCGGTCTTTGATGGAGTCTTCTCAAGCCTTCTGGAGTCTTCCACTTCTGAGTGGGATCTCTGACGGAGTCACAGATCCTTGCTGTGAACTCACCCGGGCGTAACGGCCTACAACTTCGAAGGAAGCCTGTTTGTTGAACGGAGTAAATTGACACGACTTCTGACAATGACCAGCCGCTTTAACCGGAGACGCTGGAAAGGTAGCGTTGAAATGGACCCGGTACCGGAGCTGATTCATCTTCTGCGAAGGTAACGAGTCGTCGCACGCTAAGTGTACCGGAGGTTTGAGCTGGTGTTAAAAGAAGCGTGCTAATTCTGGTCAACAAAAACCTACATCTTTCCTTAATTCCTTCCTTTAAACTCTTCTATTTTGCCAGTAATCTAGATGCCTTCAGAAATGTTCTTTTGTCTTGTTAGTAAAGAGTGCCAAGTTTTTATTAATCCGAACCAGATCAGCGAATCAAGTGTACAATGTTTTGATGTTAAATTTTGATTCTGTTAAATAAATGACCGCATTTATTCTGATGGGTCAAAGGAAAATAATGTCTCCTGTCACTGATTAAACAATACTCACAGTTATCTCGGTCACATGGCATTAATTTAACTCGAAAAAGAAAGAACCCGTTGTAAATAATTAATTAGTAGTGAAGGTACAGGAAAGCTGTCCGTTGACATACTACTACATTCAGTGGCCCGTGTGTACACAGTTGAGCTGTACCCCACATCTACTACACTCAATAATACAAGTATACAATCCAACATTTTTTAGTCAGGTCATCTGGACAGTTTTTTTTTTTTTTTGTGCTGAAACGTTTCGCCTTCCGTTAGGAAGGCTTCATCAGTCAAGGAAACACACAACAAAACTGATTCTTCCCCCAACAGCTTACTCCAAAGTGGAACAAACCAGTTCTGCTTGTGATAAGATGGTCTCTTTGGTATTAAAATTGAAAATTGAAAAACGCCCAAAAAGGACCCTTTGACCCAAAATGGCTGACTTCTTATTGGTTTTGAACCAGGGCTTAAAGAGACTTTTACATAGGTCCTGAGAAGATACAAATGTACAAAGAGTTTCAGAATTATCTGTCAAAAAATGGCTAGGGACTGAAGTTTTAAAATATTCTAGGGGGCACTTTGGAGGCTATTGGCCACAGCATGGATTCCTGTTCAAGGAGTGGATAATGATCGATCATACTGATTTTGGTGCACCTCGGCTCAAATCTGTGGAATTTAGAGCCAAACGTATGGCGAAAGCGTTACGTCTTACTTTGCCACGCTGCGATGCCAAAATCCTATACCAAAAATTGTCAGTGTTAGAAAGCAAGTTACACCAACATGTCTTTGGTCACTGGACACACTATCATGTTGATTAGAACACAGGGATCAAATAGGAACCGTTCAATGTAAAACTTTAAATTTCCTGTTCTTAGTGGGTGCGGCTTAAGTGAAGTCATGATTTGACATTCAGTCTTGCAGGGGACAGGGAGTGGATCAATCATTTAAGGTTTCATGTCTCAGACAGTTTTAGTGTATGAGCTATTAGCGTTTCGTTTTTCATGGCGAGATGTCAAACTTTGAGGTCTGGCCCCGCCCCTTCAGCATGCTCAGAAACGCACCGTTTAGATAACTTTTCGTCCCCCATGCCTCTTGACCAAAATAACCAAGTTTGAAAAGGATTGAGCAAAAAATGTGCAAGCTATAAACCACCAAATAGGTGTGAAAATTGGGTCAGGATTCCAAAATATCCGCCTTCCTGTTTATTGTACAACGTTGGTGCCAGAGTGTTTTCTGTGCATCTTGTGGAATTGGGGAAGTGTACCAAATTTCGATTATCTACAATAAAGTAAGGTTAATGTAGGGTATTTTGAAAATTGCCAGGTGGCGCTAGGGGGCGCTGTGGAGGCTATTGGCCACTTGTCATGGATTCCTGTTCAAGGAGTGGATAATGATCGATCATACTGATTTTGGTGCACCTCGGCTCAAATCTGTGGAATATAGAGCCAAACATATTGCGACGGCGTAACGTTTTACTTCGCCACGCCGCCCACATGCTTCACCCAAAACTGTCAGTGTTGGAAAGCAAGTTACATCAACATGTCTTCGGGCACTGGACACACTGTCATGCTGATCAGATCACATGGGTCAGCTTGGGATGTTAAATGTAAAACTTTACACTTCCTGTTGTCAGGGGGTGTGGCTTAAGTGATGTCATGATTTGACCATTCAGTCTTGCAGGGGACCTGATGTGGATCAATCACGGAAGGTTTGATGTTTCAGACAGTTTTCGTTTATGAGCTATTAGCGTTTCATTTTTCATGGCGAGAGGTCAAACTTTCAGGTCTGGCCCCGCCCCTTCAGCATGCTCCATTTTGGGGGATTGGACAAGTCTACCAAGTGTCATGCTTCTACGACAAACTAAGGTTATTGCGTAGGGTATTTTGAAAACTGCCTGATGGCGCTCTTGGTCTGTTTATAGAGAGCTCCATTCATTTTCAATGAGAGCCAAAATGGCAGAAAAGGCTAAATATCTCCAAAAGCTAAAGTTGCATCTATAATCAAAGTCATAGCCATATTGTCTTGAAATGGCTGAACGTTTTGATATATGAACTGTTACACTAAACCTGTGGGAGTAGATAGCTTCCAAAAAACGTTCGGAATCGTTAAAGCCACTATCTGGAAAACAATGGTGTGAATGTCTTTATAGGCATTCACACAATTAAAGCATGGCTCTGATTAGCTTAGCTTCACGGTTGCTAAAAGCTCCGCTAAGTGGAGTGGGGCTTGTGCTGCAACTGCTGTTTACTCAAGATTCTTGGGGATGGACAAAGCTAAAACATTTCAGCCATTATATCAGTCATCAGCAGTCGTCAACCCCTCCCAATATCAGTATCAGCAATAGCCAAAATATCCATATTGGTCGGGCTGTAGTATAAACTTACACAAAATTTAAAGGGGTACCTTGAAAAGAGAGGCGCTGGTCTGTGGCAGTACGTCTTCTCCATCCTCTGAAAACCTCTTGTGTTTGTTACTGACTACCTTGTTGGTACACCACTTCTTCTGATACTTTGGACTTTTAGAGCCTTTAAAGCTGATGACAGTGGCAAATCTGAGAAAATTAAACAGACAAAAAAACAAACAAAATAAATAAATAAATACACACATTACAATTGATAGTGTTTGGCTAGTTTGAAATAATTTTTGATATTGTGAAAATGGGCACAATATCAAAAAGTCCATCCATCCATCCATTATCTTTACCCGTTTATTCCATTTTGGGTCACGGGGGTCGCTGGTACCCATGTCCAGCAATCACTGTGCGAGGGGCGGGGTACACCCTGGACGGGTCGCAAGTCCATCACAGGGCCACATAGAGACAAACGAGACAAACAACCATTCACTCTCTCACTCACACCTAGGGACAATTTAGAGTTACCAATCAGCCTAACATGCATGTTTTTGGTCTGTGGGAGGAAACCGGAGTACCCGGAGAAAACCCACGCATGCACGGAGAGAACATGCAAACTCCACCCAGAAGGCCCCTGGACTGGGGTTTGAACTAGGGACCTGTTCGAGAGGCAGCAGCTCTACCAGTTGCGCCAACGTGCTGCCCTATCAAAAAGTCAACCAGTTAAAATTAATAATGCCGCACGAGTGCTTAAGGAGGAAGAACGTTCAGCTTGTTTGATAAAAGGGATTCATCGAGTCAGAAGGATGTAGTTTCCACTGAAGGCTTGTATGGTGGAAAAAAACCAAACCAAGCTTAAAACAAAGACAAGAAGAATGTTCATTCTTTAAGGGTGTTACATACCAGGACATAACAGGTCTCTCTTGTAAATTGAGTCCCTGAGGCTCAATGGGACTAACCTGTATAAATAAAGGTTGAATGAATAACAGTAACCAAATGATATATTACATTTTGGTGGACTTATGAAGTAAACAGTTAACAAATCTGAGCGACAACCCTAAAAAACTTCAATTTTTTTATTTAACCTTTATTTTTCATTCAACCTTTATTTATACAGGTTAGTCTCATTGAGCCTCGAGGACTCGTTTACAAAAAAGACCTGTTTTTAACAAAGAATGATGACAACAGAAGACAACAAAAACAACATTAGGCAATCATAAAAGAAGACATATAAATTGAAAAATATATTTAAGAAAATTATATTAAAAGAACTAAACCAAAACAGTTACATTACATTCTTATTTTTTATTAAATTAAAGGGTCTGTTGTGTCTCTGTGTTCGTTTGTCTCTCCTTCCTGTCCTCTCAACCAGCCGGTCAAATCAGATGGCTGCTTGTCCTGAGCCTGGTTCTGCTGGAAGTTTCTTTCTTTTAAAAGGCAGTTTTTCCTTTCCACTGTTGCCACTGTGCTTGCTCAGGATGTGAGACTGCAATGAAGCCAAGATTCAACTTGTCTGCTGGATTCCTTAGATAGAGAACTTTACTAATTGGCTTTTATGTACAGTATGTGAATGTTCCTGTAAAGTGCCCTGAGACCACTTTGTTGTGATTTGGCGCTATATAAATAAACTGAATTGAATTGAATTAAAGAAAATATAAAATACTAAAAACAGGAACATGTCTATGTTGGTTTTTGCATGAACTTAGCAGCTGTTTGAAGTCACTCAGAGAGGTCAAGGTCGAGAGATTCAGGTCTTTTTGCAAGGTATTCCAGGACACAGAAGCGGAGTAGGAGAAGGCCGATTTGCCTAGTTCAGTCAGCACTGAGGGAACACTGCATGTAATAATGTCCTGAGAGTGCACGCTGTAGCTGCACTCATGCAATGACCTGTAGGAGGAGATGTATGAAGGCAACAGACCAAAAAGTGATTTAAAGATGAAACTGTACCAGCAGTGAGAGAGTCTGCATGAAGTTAATGATGACCAGTTAAGCAGTGAATACAGGGTGCAGTGATGGGTACGGTAGTTACAGCCAATTATGAATCTTAGCGTGCAATGATAGACAACGTCCAACATCTGCAAGGGGCCTGTAGGAACATTCATATAAATACTGTCACCATATTCAATGGAGGGAAGAAAAGTTGCAGTTACAAGGAATTTCAGAGTTAGACAGGACCTATTTCTGAAAAAGAAACCAAGTTTAACTTTCAATTTTTGTACCAAGTTTTCAACATGGGACTTAAAGGAGAGATGCGAATCAACCAAAATACCCAAGTACGGCATTTGTAAGACTCGACAAACTCAATAGGAACACCATTCGAAAGTAAAATTTAAGGAAGGACTGCTGGGACCGACTTCCTGTTTGAAAACAACACCCCTTTGGTTTTGTCAGCGTTTAGCACCAGTTTGAGACTGAACAAATCGTTGGTTACATACTGTAACCCAGATTCTATGAGTATAGGCGTAGCCCTTTAAGGCTTCTCGCTAGTAGGTTTATCCCTAAGGTGCTCAGCGCTGCTCTGAAAACTTTAGTCCACGCCCACCTGCTGTGTGGGCCTCACCCCGGTCCGTATAAATTATGGTGAGACTGGGAATTGGCTCCCAAATAGCTTTTTCTTCAGCCATTTAGGAACCAGTGAGGCCAAGCGCTTAAAGGGCTACGCCTATACTCATAGAATCTGGGGTTACAGTACGTAACCAACGTTCTATTTCGTATAGGCTTTGCCCTTTAAGACTTCTCGCTACTGGGTTAAAGGCGAAGCAGGATGTAGTCTATGCCTCACTGGGTCCATTCAGACACAACATGAAGCACCTGCTTGCACAAAAAAAATAAATTTCATCACTCAACCTTCTGTGTGCGTAATTACGCGCTGCGTAATTGTGTGCTCCATGCACAGGAGCGCACCGGAAAAGGCCTCTGGTGAGGAAAAAGGCTGAGATAACAGTCCTGCTGCTGTGAATAGGAACAAATGGGAGTCGATTCCCGATCTCACCGTAATTTATACGGACTGGGGGTGAGGCCCACACAGCAGGTGGGCATGGACTAAAGTTTTCAGAGCAGCGCTGAGCGCCTTAGGGATAAACCCACTAGCAAGAAGCCTTAAAGGGTGAAGCCTATACGAAATAGAACTGACTGGATGATGTCAAAAGTAGATTGCAAAAGCTGGAAAACCTTAGCAACTGTTAGCTAGACAATAAACGACTGTCTCGTCAGCATAGAAATGTAAGGATGCATCAGGAATGATCTGACCTGCATTACTTATGTAGATTGTGAAGAGGGTGGGTGGGTGGTACACTGTTGTTTACACTTTGATAACTAGAAAAAGTACCATTATGTTGAACACATGGCCACATATTGCCAGATTGCCATTTAAATAGGCAAATCCAATCAGATCTCAAGGGAGGCCTGGGTCTGAAGGCAGCCTAAACATGCATGTTTTTGAACTTTGGGAGGAAACTGGAGTATCCTGAGAAAACCCACACAAAAAAAAGGAGAACATGCAAAGTAGAGACAGAAAGACCCCAGGCCCAACCCAGGCTTAGAAAAATTTGCAATAATGGGATTTTTCAAAATATGACGACCAACATCCAAATATGGTTTGAGGGTTCCTATTTGAAATGAAGTTATGAAATCCTCATTAAAATACACTCAAAATAGGATTCAAAATGATTTTCATGGGGGCATCCAAATTAGCAAGACAAAACAAACCATCTCTCTGCTTGTGATATCAAGCTAACAAAGGTATCAAAACGTAGCTTAGAAAGACAGTAGTCTGAAAATGTGCAGAGTTTATTTTGAACAAATCTGATTGATGGGTCACATATTGAGCTCAAGTTTTATGTTGTAGTATCTGTCATCCTCAACTCAAAATCTAGCAATTTTGCATGAGATTACAAATGAATTAGTCAAACATCTTTGATTCCCACAGATGTCTCGCCGTATGTTTTGATCCATCACGGACGATTTAATTTCAGAGACTGAACGTTCTGTGTCAGCCATCTAGATAAATAAATAAATAATTTATTAATCCCCAGGGGGAAATTTGAAGCAAGTTCTAATTATACAGAAAAAAGACATATGAAAAAATCAAACAAGAAGCAGAATACACAAATTTGAAAAAAGACCATATGCACATGCACAAGATGGTAGAGTACTACATTCATGATTAACACTTGCATATGTACATGTACATATACATACACTGGATGAAGAGCATCTCAGCGTGACCTCAGCAGAAGTAAGGAGTACCTTCAGGAGGATTAATCCGCACAAGGCAACTGGCCCAGACAACATCTCCGGAAAAGTGTTGAAGGAATGTGCTGATCAGCTCTGTGAGGTGCTGGCAGACATCTTTAACACCTCACTTACCCTGGAGACAGCTCCCACCTGCCTGAAGACTGCCACCATCATCCCAGTCCCAAAAAGCTCTACAGTGACTGGTCTGAATGACTAT